CCTACAGTGTTTGCTATTTCTGTATGTTCACCGATCATCATCATCATCATCATCGTTTCTATTCTCTTTTATACTTAATCTTTTCATTATAACAATTCTATCAGTTGAACATCACCGATCATGTCGAATTAATATTAAAAAAAAAAAAAGAATTGACTTTTGCAATGAATGCAATCAGTTAGGTCAATGAATCATCATCATCATCGTATCTTTAAACACATGAGATCTTAATTAAACATGATCGATTAGATTTTGATTATAAATAACTTAACTCGGGTTATCTTCTTGGAGGGGGGGGTCATCTTATTTAAACATCGAAGAACAAACATTCTTATCACCTCTTCGATATATAAAAATTGCATTTATAAGATATTTGTCTAGCCACGTTTCTCTAAAACTGTGACAATTTTTCAATAATTTATTCTTTTATAAAATAAAAACATTGTGTGTTATCATTGACGATGACTTTTGATCATTGCGATCACTGGTTGGGTTGGTCATAGGTCATAGATTGTTTGATAAATCGTTTAACGTCATTATCAATCGAGTATTCGTAACAAATGATCCGTAAATGAATAGAAATAGTTATCCCCCCCCCTTCAATATTGTCATGGCACACCCCTTCCTTTATTTGACTCCAACCATGACCTTGCTCGTTTTCAGGGATTTAAGATTCAACAATATAGTGGAAGTACGATCTGGAACGTTTCATGGTTTGAAACATCTGCACACATTACTGTTGAATGATAATCATATTAAATATATACCATCATATGCATTTGATGGTGCACCTAATCTACGAATTCTTTCCTTGTACAAGAATCATATCGCGGATTTATCAAGCAATGCTTTCGCTCATCTACCAAAATTAGAACAACTTTATCTACACGACAATCGTCTAACTAACATAGTCAAAGGTACTTTCAATAATTTGCCATCGTTGGAACGTCTATTTCTTTTCAACAACATATTGCAACGTCTTCCTGCTGATGCATTTAAAAACGTTGGTCCGATGACACGTCTTCGTCTCGACAGCAATGAACTCATTTGCGATTGCAATGTACTTTGGTTGGTTGAGAGAATGGAAGAAAGACCAACCGATGAAATGTCTGCTGTATGTAAATATCCTAACGAGATGAAGGGTAAAGCGTTGAAAACTATGACAAGCAAAGATTTTCATTGCAGTTGAGTAATAGTTTTGTTACATTTACAAATTTCTAATTGTATTATTTGATAAGATTTTTAAAGATGATCTCATTGTTATTTTTTAGTAAAACCGCGTATAATGGAGGGTCCGGAAGATACCGAAGTTAAGATCGGTGATACGGTAACGTTTACTTGTCGAGTGATAGGTGATCCAGAACCAGAAGTAACATGGATGAGAAATTCCAACAGAGTTCACGTCGATGGTGAACGATTTACTGTTAGAGATGATGGTACTTTAGTAATTGCTGATATCACTGAGGAAGACATTGGTGAATACGAATGCATAGCTAAAAGTGACATGGGTTCAACTAAATCGAGGAAAGCTAGAGCTTTGGTAGTTTCATCGTCATTGAGATTTGACCAAGTTCCAGAATCGCAGACGATTACAGCTGGATCGGATGTTACATTCGTATGCAAACCCGTGGGTTATCCTCGACCTGTTGTACAATGGTGGACCGATGATCTACTTGTTTCTACTGGTGGAAGAATATTAGTGGAAGATGATGGAAGGGTACTTCGTATTTTAGCAGCTAAAGAATCCGATTCAGCTAGATACGTCTGTCGTGCTAGCAATTCAAATGGTTACGCGGAGGCCAGTGCTGATCTCGAGGTTATACCTAGCGAATATAGTCCACCGATATTGACCTATCAACCTCACGACATGGAAGCAGAACCTGGAGCTATAGTTGAAGTACCTTGCAGAGCCGAAGGTGAACCCAAACCCTTAATACAATGGAAAAAGGATGGTGCTACCATTTCAAATGATAGATCTCGTATTCGTATTTCTCGTGCTGGTAGTCTTTATTTGTACAACGTATCGTCTCAAGATACTGGAAGGTAAGAATTTTAATTTAGAATTTGTTTTTCTCACTAACTTCTATATGCATGCACATTTTATCAAAAATAGATACGAATGTTCGGCCGTAAACGATTATGGTCGTGCTACTGCTCAAGCTCTCGTTCGTGTTCGTCAAGTGGGAACGATTGATGCACTCGTTATAAGAGCATTCAAGGATGCTTCAGAAGAAATAGATAGAGCCATCAATAAGACCTTGGAAAGTTTGTTCAACAGCGACGGTACATCTAGAAGAGTCGATCCTTTTCGAGTTGCACGATTTCCAAATGCAATTGGACGTGCTGCTGCTAGACCAGCTGAACTTTTTGAAAGAACACTTGTTAATATTCGACGTATGGTTAATTCGGGTGTTGCTACAAACGTTACTGATGAATTTCGTTATGAAGAAATCCTAACATCCGACCAGGTATTGCTTTAAGTATTCATGTACATAAATTTATACGAGATATATAACAACAGGTGATATTATTGATTTATAGGTAAGAGAAATCGAAAGATTATCTGGATGTACTGGTCATAGGAGTCAGAAGAATTGTACGAACATATGTTTCCATCACAAGTATCGCAGTATAGACGGTAGTTGTAATAATCTTAGGCATCCAACTTGGGGTTCATCGTATACAGGATTTCGAAGAATTCTCCAACCTATTTACGAGAATGGGTTTTCTATGCCAATAGGATGGCAAAAAGATCGTCGTTATTATGGATATCCAAAACCAGCAGCTCGTCTCGTTTCAACTACCTTAATATCAACAAATGAGATCACTTCCGATGATAGAATTACTCATATGGTAATGCAATGGGGACAATTTGTGGATCACGATCTTGATCATGCATTACCATCGGTATCTAGTGAATCTTGGGATGGTATAGATTGTAAAAAATCTTGTGAAAATGCTGCACCATGTTTTCCCATGGAAGTACCACCCGGTGATCCTCGTATAAACAATAGAAGATGCATCGATTTCGTCAGAACCAGTGCAGTTTGTGGTTCCGGAGAAACAAGCTTATTATGGGGTCATTTAATGCCTCGAGAACAATTAAATCAGCTTACCAGCTATTTAGATGCTTCACAAGTTTATGGTTACGACGACGATCTCGCACGAGATCTTCGAGATTTAACAACGAATCATGGATTGTTACGAGAAGGTTCAATATTTCCTGGTCGTAAAGCTTTGCTTCCTTATGCTTCTGGTCAATTCGTCGACTGTCGTAGAAATCCTTCAGAAAGTTCTATCAATTGTTTCGTCGCTGGCGATATTCGTGCTAACGAACAAGTAGGTTTATTAGCGATGCATACGATATGGTTACGAGAACACAATCGAATAGCTCGTAAATTACGTGAATTAAATCCACATTGGAACGGTGAAAAGTTGTATCAAGAAGCGAGAAAAATTGTGGGTGCCGAGATGCAACACATTACTTTCCAATATTGGATACCAATTGTATTGGGTAATACTACTGACAAACTTTTAGGACCTTACAAAAGATATGATCCTGATTTGGATGCAAGTATATCAAATGTTTTTGCAACGGCAGCCCTACGTTTTGGTCATTCCTTGATTCAACCACGTTTAGAACGATTAAACGAATCTTTTCAATCTATTCCACAAGGTGCTTTACCTTTACGTGATGCATTCTTTGCACCATGGCGACTAGTCGAAGAAGGTGGTGTTGATCCTTTGATAAGAGGAATGTATGCTACAGCAGCTAAACTTAAATTACCTGAACAAAATCTGAACGTCGAATTGACAGAACAACTCTTTCGTACGGCTCACGCAGTAGCCTTGGATCTAGCTGCTATGAATATTCAACGTTCACGAGATCATGGTATCCCAGGTTATTTGGAATGGCGAAAATACTGCAACTTGACTCACATAGAAACTTTTGATGATTTAGTCGTTGATATAAGAGATCCTAAAGTACGACAAAAACTTCGTGAACTCTATGGACATCCTGGTAACATAGATGTATGGGTTGGTGGTATTCTTGAGGATCAACTTCCCGATGCTAAAGTCGGCCCTCTCTTTCAATGTCTCCTGATAGAACAATTTCGTCGAATTAGAAACGGTGATAGATTTTGGTACGAAAATCCCACGAATTTCAAACCTGAACAATTAGCTCAGATACAACAAGTTACCTTGGCAAGAATACTTTGCGATAATGGCGATAAAATTGATCGCATTCAACCTAATGTCTTTCTATTACCAAATGACAATGATAACAAGTTTACCTCTTGCGATAATATACCATATTTAGATTTAAATATGTGGTCAGATTGTTGTGACAATTGCGAAGATAACAGTAACACCATATCACGTTTTCGACGAAGTGCTGCGAAATATTTGTCACCAGAACATAACGATCTAGAATTAGAAGAAATTTCTCCCAAAGATAGCAAGAAAATAGATTATTTAGAAAAAATGATAGAGGAGGCTGAAGAGAAATCAGAAAAATTACAAAAATTCGCAAATTCTTTGTCGTTAAGGATAAATGAATTAAAATCTTTATTGTCCGATGCCAAAACGTTAAAATAATAATAACACGATTAATGTAACATTATTTGTTAGATAATTTTTATCAATGTACTTTTCTATGCATTACTTGTGAAATTTTGCACGTGCTTATCATTTAGACCAAATTTGTATGCATTTATTGTAAATATATAGTCAAAATGATAGTTATAAAATGTGAAACAAGTTAGAAACGTGATCATATCTTTTATCTTTCTTTTTGCTTTTTATAAAAGTGACTTATATTAAGCAATACAAATAAATGTGTCTGATTAGATTTCAAATTAATTTTAATCTATTCAAAATCATTCAATATATTTTTTACAAATATACATTGTCGATTAGAAAATTATATTAATTGTCAAGACAAACAAAAATGTTTTTTATTTTAAGAGTATCTATGTATATGTATATATATATATATATATATATCTTTACGTAGTATATTACATAATAATTATTAAAAATCTAGATATTTCTTTATAAGATAAATTTTACATGGTTTCCATTAGCAATAATATCTTTACCATTATTTTTGGTGAGATCTACTGTAAGATATGCTAGAGTACGACCAGCGCGTATAGTTTTAGCATCAACTTCAACCACTTCACCAGGAAACGCAGGTTTCATGTATCTGTGCCATTGACATATGTAAAATGAAGAAACTTTAGATAAATATATCTTATAAATAAAATTTAATGTAAATCCTTTTTCTATAGTATTTAATATCTAATCTTACAGAATACGCATTGTATACAGTGAATAATCAAAGATGCAACTAAGATCAACTGATGCAAATAATACATGTCAATGTACAAGTTACAAATCTTTTTCAATGCGTACTCTTAAATATTGTAACAAAGTAATTAACATGTAAAATATCTTACGAAATGTTCATGTTAACAGAAACACCTGGAGCACCAGTCTTATAAGTCATCAAAGCGTAAGTTGAAACGCAGTCAATAATAGTTGCTGTAAAACCACCATGTAATGAGCCACCAAGATTTAAATGTTCATCAGAGACAGTGAATTCAGCTTTACAATTGCCATCTCCTGCAGAAAGTATTCTAACCTAAATGTCATCAAAATTTAATCATTATTCTTGAATATTGAAATATTTATGACAAAACAGAAATATACATACATTTTTCATACACCTTCCAAAACCACTAGATGTACTAATACGTTCTATGACAGATTTAATAAGCTCAGTACCTCGAGTCATTTTATATTTAATTCCTTAGTTATACTTGTTTTAATTATTTACGAAATATTATTTAACTAAAAAATGTCAAGTCATTAGTATACGATTTTAACATTGTAGGTTAATAATTATTATGCATAGAGAACTCCATTTATTATGCAATAATGATAAGATAAGTAAACATGCGAGATAGATATGTGTGTGTCGAAGGATCGTATTCGATTATCGAAAAGTCGAATATCGAAATTCGATTAATTTTTGCTCATTTGTCATAATAATATGCATACGGATAAATACTTGTCATTTTAACTTTAACGGCCCTGTGTAGTTATCTATATGTGTTACGTACTACGTGATCAGTGATCCCATTCGTACGATAATTTGAAGCCTTGTACGATCCAAAATTCAGCCCTTGAAAAAGTTGGAACTTGCACTCTTTTTCCAGATTTTGAAAATCTCATCCAACAAATTGTAGTAATTCAAATTTTCCCGGGGCGTACGATAATTGTACGCCCCCTGTGTCGATCAGACGAACTAAAGTCTCTGGGATCACTGACTGTACGTGATTCAGTGAACTTACTTTTGATTGCAGTGCATCGTTCCAATCAGTGTGACACTTTGATTATTTTCTATCAAAAATGGCATTTACCAGTGTAATTACAGAATTTATATCAAGTTTAAAGAATATTGGAAGCAAAATGTATTCTGAAAGAATATGCGAGTATCAAAATGCGTACAATATACAGGTATATATAATATATTAATAGTTTGTAAATATATTTAAAAATTATTTAATAACATAACCTATATTTTCTTATCATTTAGATTCTTAAATATGAAAAACTATTACATAAATCTTTGGAGGAAGTTGAAATATACAACGCAATATTGAAAAGTAAGTCATTAACGATTAAGACTCGTGAAAAATTTGAACAAGAAATGCAAGAGATTCAAGATATACTTGCCATCAACAAGGAAAAATTAAATCGTCTGCGAAGAAAGGATAGGCGATCATTCGTTGTAGCAATACGCCTAATTTTTACTTGCTTTATAATTTACATCTTGTATTATATTCTTACTAGTAATTTTTCTACAACTTATGTAAATACAACATAAAAAAATGTATGTGTTATTATTACGCTTCTATATGCAACGTAAGAAAATGTATGTTACGTTGTACATTCAACGTAAGGAAATGTATGAATGTGTTTCAGTATTATAAATAATTTTTATATCATTTAACTATTTTTCTATTGTAGAATTATATTCATTTTTTCATTAATAACGTTAATCAAATATAGATATATACATATTATAATATAACTTATACATTCCAAATACATAAATAATATCAATAACATTAAAGCAGATCACAAATGTATTTATATAATATTAATAATAATGTATATATAATAGTTATGAAACTGCATAATATTGATATACACTTATAAGCACTGTATATATATATATATATTATAACACCTTTTATTTATATATTATATAAATGCAACATATCATACTTCGATATAGTATCGAACAAATTTCTATGCTTTGTTATTTTAAGTTAGTTTTAATTATAATCATGGAAATTGATGAGTTCAATATTCGAGGCCATTAGCATAGTGAATTTGTTTGTAAAGAAATTAAATCAAATCATATTGAGCCATTCCAGCAAGTCGACTACGCATATATTTAGCATGTATTTCAGCATCCAAGTAACTTCCTTTAACTGCAGAATCTTCCTTCATAGCACTCCTCCATTCGAACTTAAAGTCAAAGTAAATATTATAATATTAATAAAATATTATTATTTCAATGTACAGATATTTTGTAAGAAATGAAGAAGCTTTACCAGTCTTAGAAAACGATCTCGAGAAATTGTATATTCATCTCCACGTAAGATCCTAATAATATCAGCTCTTTCACACCATGGCCAGATCATCAGATCCAACATTCCAGGTGAAGAACCACCAAAGAATGGTGTTTTTCTTTTAACTAATTCTCTGTCAAAAAATTCAAGACTAGCAAGTGCTTCGTAGAATATATTATAGTCTATCGTTGTTCCAGTATATAACTGTAAAAATATCAATAAGATTATATTAGTATTATAGTTAAAAAAAAAAAAAGAAAAATCAATAAAAAGAAAATTTGAAGAATATAATATTAAATAAATATAATAATAATAATACAATAATGATGAAATGAAATAATCAAAAATGAAAATAATAACCACTTTGTAAAAACCTTGTACATATTGGTAATAACAGTGTTGAATCTTTCAATCAACAATTTATCTTTAGCCTTTGATAAAGGATTAAGTGGATACAATTTATTCTGTGGATAAGCTTCATCCAAGTATTCAGTTATTATAAGACTTTCATACAACACTTCACCACTGTTCAATTCTATACAAGGAACTTTTCCAGAAGGATTCTTCTCTAATAGCCATTCCGGTTTCTGGGTCAAATTAACATAAACAATGTCGTATCTGTAAGAAATCAAATATACGTATACACATACAAATAATACTATGTAATCATTGATGAAAATGATTTTTTTTTTTTTTTTTTAAATCAATTAATATGTACGGAATTTTTTTGGCATCTAAAACGAGTTGTACTCTTTGGGCATATGGACAAAAACGCATGCTGTATAAACGAATTTTTCCAGGAACAAGGGCTGGACAAATTGATCCTAAAAAAAGATTACATCATATATTACACACCTTTTTTTTTTTTTCTCTTTTTTTTTTAATATAATTTAATTCCATTTTATTTTCTACTTACCTGTGCTCAAATGTTTCGTACTCATTTTAGATAATTCTAATAAATTCTAATCACAATAATGTATAACTCTTTTAATGATTTTATGTCACAGTTGACAACGATGTCGTTCGTATGAAGGGAATCGTTTGAAATAAATATCAATAACTATTAAAGTCTGCAGGTAGACATTGCACAGAAAGATACGACGTGGTGTTTGATATTTCGTCGCTAAGTGTATACTCATACATGCATGTATATGTATAGACGATTACTTCACGCCCATGTCACGCATTATCATATAGAAAAACTAGAAAATCTAATCTTTGTCCCTGTTAATGCTTATACATGTATATATATATATGTAGATATAAATATTGATCATTATTTATTATTCATAATTTAAACATTTCGTTTTATAATAAACTTAAATATATACAACATATTCGTCATATCATATTAATACATTTTTATTCATAAATTCTCATAGTAATGTAGATTTTATTTTATCAATGAAAATGTTTAATTATAGAAATTTGAAGATAAATATATAAAGAAAAAAATATGACATAATCCTAGATAATAAAGCTGAATTATCATATGAAAATTGTTTTACCGATTGTGAATAATTTTAATTATAAAGTTACGTATTTTATGAGTTATGTATTTATCTACGACTAGTTTTTTAACCAAATATTTGTAATAAGAAAAATAGTTAATGATATTATATAATAGATACATTTTCTTGTTGTATTTATGAAAAAATATCAAAGAATTATGAGATTGTGAAGATTGAATATTTGAATAATGTAAAAATTCGCGCCAATATGTGATTGGTTGTTAGAAAGTACGAATCTGTACAATGAGAGGTCGCTAATAGTCCTATGAATGGTTTTTAAAAAGTACGAATCTGTACAACGAGAGGTCGACAGTAGTCTTTTAAAATTTGATATTAGATTGTGATTGGATTACAATCAACTTTTCAAATATCGATTTGATCAATCAACTATTGTATTTTTCCCGCTAATAATAAAACGAAGCATAACACGTGATTCAAGAAAGCAGACGACATCGTGCAACAGAAGAGGATAGAACTCAACTCTCTATTCGAATTTTTAATAAACAACGAAGTATATTTTTAGTGAAAGGATAAATCATACGATCATTGTTTCGTGTTAGTGTAAACAAGTGATTAAATTAAAATTAAATCATGAATTATTATAATACATTCGAGATCAGTAAGAAAAGGACATCTTCCGAAATTAGAAGAAAAATTAAAAGGATTTTCTTCAAACCGGACATGCGAGTAAGTAATTTTGTTAATTAATCAAATGATTGTTATTAATAATTATGATTTGTAAAAGTAAGATCAAAAGAGAACGAATATTTGCAACTTCTTTTATCTGCTCGAATTTAATAAGTCTTACGAAAATGATATATTTTAAACATGTTGTTTTTTTCAAAATGGCGCATCGTCTTATTACATTTAATTCTATTTATATATATATATATATATATATATATATATATATATNATATATATATATATATATATATATATATGATTGAAATTTGATTTAAAGTGAATCGATTGTTTAACAGAATTTATTTATTTTTGTGCATTACATTTTTTGGAAATACTATACTTTAATGTAACATTCGATCGATGTTACCAACATATTAATCACATTTCCAATTTTTTTTTTTTTCAAATTTCCACTCGTTGATTTAAAAGATTTTTCCTATTTAAAAAAAAAACAAAACAAACCGGAAATGGTCATTTAAAGATGTCCTCTTAACTCACGTGGTAGCATTCGAATTAGTTTTGCATTCTTCTCGTTTGAATCAATGAAACAAAATGAAACACAAAAATATACAAATATATATTTGAGTAGGTTAACAAGAAATTTGCAATGATTATTTATTTAAGAATTAAATGATAATCAAATGAAATTTATTGAATGGTCAACACGTGGTAGATAAACTTATTTCCTTGACTGTCCTCAGATGGTTATGGTTAGAATGAGGAAACCAATGGCTCGTATATCTCGATTGTTTCTTCATAAAATAGAATTTGTTTCTTTTTTTTTTTGTTTTGTTTATATATTTTGACGAATGGAAGAATAGAAATTTTGGTTATAAATTTAGTAGATACAAATAAAATTTGAGTTGGGGTTGGTAAATAAACTATACAGGTAGGAGTTTGGTAAATGAGATCCAAGGGGTGGGCTGGGGTTGTTAAAAGATGGAAACAAAAAATAGGGAAACAGGAGTAGACAAAACAGGATAGTTGATAGGAAGGGTAGGTAGGGAATAGATAGAAAGTCAAATGAATATTGGAAGGACAGAGTAGGTAGGTAGGTAGGTAGATAGGTAGATGATGTTCTAAGTAACAACACAACGGAACAACTGAGAGAAGTTTTCAGTGTGTTCTCTTGGATTGAGAAAAATGCTGAGAGCGTGGGGGGGGGGTGGGTTTAATGGTAGGAAAAGAGTGGGTGTTGGGTAGGATGAAGGAAAGAGAGGGAGGGTGGGAGAGTTGAAGGTAGAAGGTTATGAGGAAGAAGAAGGTGAAAGAGGAGTAGGAGAAGGTGTAGAGGGTGGATGAGGAGTTTGAGGGTAGAAGGTGGAAGAGCGCGGGCGCTGATTGGTAGCAGAATCGATTAGCCGAGCCAAGCTAAACCTCCGGCAATGTGGCAGCTTCGGCGACGCCACGAATTTCCCGAATGGAGGTTTCCCGTTGGGGCGGTCCCGAACCTAGGGAGGAATACCTCGCTCTTCTCCATGGCAACCCGACCAATTCGCCAACCGCCGACAACCAAGGCTGACCTATCGTGTTCTTTCTTTTATTTCTTCTTCTTTTGTTTCTTTTTTTTTTTTTTATATTCTTTTTCTCATCATCCTCCCTCACCCACCTTTCCTTTCTCTACAACACTCCTTTACCTTTTCTCTTTCATGTATGGTAAAAAGAAAAGAATGAAAAAGATAGAGAAAGAGAGAGAGAGAGAGAGATAATGATACACATACCTATATACACAACTTTGGACACTGTACTGTTTCACATTGATTTTGCCGACGACTGATACAACCCCGTCGGCACGTTTAATTAGAACATGGCGACTTTAATACAAGCGCACGACAACAAGAACAACAACAGCGTCCCCTCGCATATTTCTCGCATATTTCTTTAGTTTATTTTTTGATTTGTTGTTGTTGTTGCTTCTTCTTCTTCTTCTTCTTTTTCCTCTTCTTCTTCTTCTTCTTCTTCTTCCATCTTCATTTTTGTCACTACCTCACCCTCTTTTAATTTCATGCTTTTTCTTCTTTCCCACCTGTCCGTAGTCGTAGCCATTGCATACATGTTGCAGCCAGCCGCTTGTTTCCTGACCTTTTGAGTCCTCTTTCCTTCCTTTTGCATGCATACGGGTGTTCTTTTTTTATTTTTTTGCTACCTTGCTGTGAGAGAGAGGGGTCGCTTATCTACCTAACCTAACGCGGTCTACGCTAGTGCCAGACATCCTCGCCGCCATTGCATCTATCATTGTCATCATCCTCATCATCCTCATCATCATCATCATCATCATCATCATCATCATCATCATCATCAGCGCCGTCATCGTTATCATCGGCTTTCCACCATTTTTAAAAATCACGCCCACTCTCCTACGAACTCGGAGAGAGACATACATACACATACACACACACACATGATAAAAGTATACATCACATTCGTTCGATTCGATTTCAACGTTGCATTCTCACATTTGCTTGTTTTACATACACACATACAAACATTTTCACATATTCTCTCTTCTCATCACTCTCTTTCTATTTCACATGGACAATCATCCACCCACCCACCCACACACACACACATAGACACCCACTCGCGATCTAAATCTAATTCGTCTACGTTTCTACGTGTTTCTACACATGAAAACACCCTATCTACACGAGCGTTTCTCCGACATTCCATGGAATCCTTATTCGAATCTTTGCCAATCATTTTAGAACGAGAAGCCATCTTGATTTGTTTTTTTTTTTTTTGCTATAACTTATCTTTTATTATTTTTTTATCATCTTGCGTCGATAATCGTCAAGTTTGTTGTGTGTGTGTTATTATTATTATTATTAAATATTTAAATATTATTACACCATAAAAGCTGATTCTATGGATTGTACGGAGTATAGCAGCGTTAATTTATTTTTTTTTGGGTTATTTTTTTTCCATCATTAAAATTAATTCTATAAATTGTTTTCTTAAATTCTGTGTCTTTTGGTAAATTTTTCTTTTTCTTTTTTTTCATTTTTTTCTTGTTGTTCTTTTTACGGATGGTAATATTGTACAGTATTATACGATGATTTTTTTTTTTTGGTTAAATTTAAACTATGGAGGTTAGAGGTAAGGAGTAACATCTCTTATGGGAATAAATTTGTGAAAAAAGTGTCCTAGCGTTTTTTTTATAAATAACAGTTCATAAACTTTCCAGAATGGCGCTGATGTAGACAGAAGGTATGATATGAATGTAGCAATTGTAAACGAATTGAAGTATGCCGAGTTATATAATAATGTATTAAATATAACCTTAAAAAATTATTATGAAAAAAACGTTGCAGCTACAATGCTTTTATTTCGTGAACTGTAAATAGTACGTTTAGTAATTTTTTATTATTTAATTTTATGAAAAAGTATGTGAATAATAAGAAAACAGTAGTTATGGGTAAAAATTTGTGTTGTAAAATTTGTGTTTCTTGTTTATTTCTCAATCCTATTCTAATAATATTTGGCGCTTTTTTTTTCTTAAATTGATACTTTACGTATTGTGGCGCCACCCCTAATTGAATGCATTTCAACGGACACTTTTCATATACACAGAAATGTTACACCTTACCTTCTACCCTTAATAAATTAAAACGCTTTTTTTTTCTAATGACAGAGGTACACATCGTTTTTTTCTTTTTTTCTTTTGTTTCGTTTTCTGGACAAAAAAAAAACAAATTGCTAAAAAGATAAATAATCTAACATATGCAAAAAGATTATTATCTTAATGTTATCTTTGACGTTACTTTTTTCTTGAGGGAGACATTTTTGCGAAGACAAATTGGACCAGAAGGCTAAAAGGGGGTGGTAGTGGTGGTGGTGGTGGTGGTGGTGTTGGTGTGGGTGATTAGGGGTTGAAAAAAGGGATTTGTAGGTTAATGATTTTTTTTTTTTTTTAAAGACGAATTATATCGGCGTTCGGCGTTCTTCGACGAAGGGCTAATAACAATCATCCCTTAGGGCCCACCTCACCATAATTATCCTCGAGATTTTTATTTGTTATTTTTATGTTCATTTTTTTTTTCTTTGCATAGATAGAGTAGCCATACACTCGTATTGAAGGATTTGAGTTGTTGTTGTTGTTGTTTTTTATTATTATTATTATTATTATTATTGAAAAACATTGTTTAATAGAAAATATTTATTATTTTTATTAATTTCTTTCTTTCTTTCTTTCTTTTATTCGTTCAAGTTTTTCAAGGAACGCAGGACGACCATTTTTTTTTTTTTTTTAAATATTGTTGGTTCTTGGAAAATAATTTCATTTCAGATAAATTACTCTCTTTTTTTTTTTTTTTATTCTCTTTGCAAATTCTTTTACTTTTTACCGGGCTTAGTTTTTTTTTTTTTTTGTAACTTTGCATAATTATTAATAATATTTACGTAATTGTTTAAATATACGTATATATATATACAATTGTAATAATAAACACGTAAAATCGGATGAGAAAGAATCGATGTTAACTCGCTGCGTGGTAATTTTTATTATTTTTTTTTCTTTTCTATTTCAATATAAATATATACATATATATATATATATATATATTTAATATATATAATAAATAATATAATATAATATAATATAATATATATTATTAATATAATATATATATATATATATATAATAATATAATATATATAATTAATAATAATATTTATAATTTTATTAAAAAAATTATATAATGTAAAATTAATTATTAAAATTATAAATAATATTATTAATTATTTATTATATATTAATTATAAATAATATTAATAATTATAAATAGTATTATTAATTATATATATATATATATTATATACATATTATTTTATATAATATATTAATATATATTAAATATATATATATATATATATGTATGTATATATTAATTAATTAATTTCCATTTATTTTCATTTGTTTTCAACTTGCAATTCTTTGCAATTGCATTTGCAATAGAATGCAGTATGAAGAAGTGTACCTTTGCTATTTACCTGTCGTTTTGAACGTTAACACGACGAGGCGTCTCTATCTATACCATTATTATTATAATTATCATTATTATCATTATTATTAATATTATTATATTATTATTATTATTATATTATTATTAATAATATTATTATTATTATTATTATTATATAACAAATAAGTTAAAAGAGTTTATAATACACGCATTGCTTTTCATTTTTTCGTAACCCAAATCGATGATCGGTTATTTATTGAATTATTCCCATCAAATGTTCATGGTTTTTTTATTCTTTTTTTTTTTTTTTATTATTTTCCCAAAGTACGAATTTGTTTTGTTTTAATTTTTTTTTTTTCGATTCTAACTTTTATGATTTCATTGTAAAAATTGTAAAACGATTAATAAATGTTAATCGATTTTGATATGACACTCCTTTCGGATTATTCTTGATTAATTTGTTTATTTATTTATTTTTATTTTGTTAAATTGTTTTTAATGTTTATAACCGATTCGATCGGGGCCGTAAAATTTCAACGTTTTTTTTGTTTTTGTTTTTTTTCTGTTTTTAATTGATGGAATAACGTTGGTTTCTTATTCGATAAACGAATTTAACGTTCCGATGGATTCAACTCTCATTCGTACGATTTATCTTCAAATCATTTTTTTTTTTATATTATTGCTATACATATAATTTATCAATTATTTATTTATTAATTTAATTTAATATTAATTAATAATTCATATTAAATTATTATCCAATTATATACAATCCATAATTTATGTCAAAAAATCTTGAACAATCTCGAATTAATGAATCTCTGATAAACAAATGTAAATCATTTATTGTTTCATTTGTTTAAATTAATTATAATATAAAAGAAAAAAGAAAACATTATTTAACAATCTCAAATTAATCATTTATTGTTTCATTTGTTTAAATCAATTGTAAAAAGAAAAGTTGATAAAAAAAAAAAATGATATAAAAGATAAATCGTCATAGTAATAAAAAAAAGAGATAAATCCAATCATTGTTAACGTTAATATCGTTTGAATAATGCAATAATAATATAATTTATTTACAATGATCTTACAATGAATCCGAAGCGCACGCACCGTCGACCACACGAAAACATCGCCAAATTTCTTCCGACGGGTTATCTGTGTGTGTGTTTGTTCCTTCATTCCGAGTAGTTCACATTTTCATCTACGATAATAGACGATAACGTAAATCATTCTCGAGAATTATTCACGTATTTATAATTATTTATTGTTTATCTTTTGTTAATATTATTTGTTAATTTGTTTATATATCATAATCCTGTATCGAAGAATCGCGGAACGTCGTCGGTAGGGAAAATTAGAAAAACGGGGTTTTTCTTTAAAAAGGGTTGCTTTTGTTTTTTTTTCATAATTTTCTTTTTATGAATTAATTAACAAAAAAAAAAAAACAAAAAAAAACCGATGAATTTCAATTGATGATTATTATTACGTAAACTACCATTTATAAATTAATAATTGTTTGTGAGGATTGTAGAATAAAATTGTTTTGTTTAAAAAGGATTTGATTTAACGCGTTGATATCAAAATTTGTTGCTTCATTTTGTTATATAATAATTGGAAAAATTATTTTTAATAATTTTTTATTTATTAATTTTTTATAATAATTTATATAATATTATTCTACTATTTTTTATTAAATTATATTATATTTGACGAATGGTAGTGTAAGTAATAATAAAATTAATCATTAAAATCACGTCAGGTAAAAGATAGCTACATAAACAAAAACGACTTATTAAACAATAATTTAAAAATTAAAAACAAATATTTAAAGAGCTGAAGAAGGGGTTGTTGGGTGACTGGGGGGACTGGGGGGGGGGGTGCGACGGTGCACGATGTTTGATTTTAAAAATCATTTTTACTTGGGGGGAGGGGGGGTTAAAACGCACGTTCCGTTAATCGATTTTGGACGTGACAAATGACTACTTACGCGTTTAATTTTTCCGAGTTATTTTTGTTCTCTTTTTTCTCGAAAGACAGAGAGAAAGAGAGAGAGAGAAAGAGAAAGAGAGAAATAGAGAGAGAGAGAGAGAGAGATAGTGAGAGAGAGAGAGAGAGAGAGAGAGAGAGAGATAAAAAGGGATGTTTAATAAACTCGGGTAACGAAATTATAATTATATGGTAGATTTTGTTGTTTGTTTGTTTGTTTGTTTTTTTTTTAACGCGGCGTACCAAGAGTGCTCCAATGTTCGGCAGAAGGTCATGCGTAATGGGGATAGCTGCCAAGATGTGGTGGCACGTGACCCGATGCCGTGTGATGACCAGCGTAAAGATTTGCACTTGGTGTCGTCGACCAATAACTGGATGCCGATTGAAAAAGACCACCCGGTACCGAAACCGAAACTGATGCTGCTGGTGGTGGCATCAGGTTCAACTTGGCATGACCATAACCTGACATGAACAGCTCACTTTGATATTTGTATGCCGCTGGATCGGCCGCGGCTGGTTGCGTAGCTGCTGCTAAACCTTGAAAGTCGAATTTGTACGCGTACCTTTTCCCATGTACCTTCGTCATGATGTTCTTGTCGTAATAGTACCTGTAAAAGATAGTAAATCGTTTCGTTTGAAATCATTTTACGATTCAATTACAAATCAATCGATTACTTATTTGCTATTTAAGTTAGTTTCGTGTTTGATTTATCGAAGGGTTGGGTGGGATTGCGCAGGGTTCTTTTTCTGTACAGCGAGGTTCAATGCTGTTATTTATATTTTAATATATTGCATATACTTTAACTTTAACAATTTACTTGAATAATTAATAATACAATTAGGTATTATATATTTTATAAGATGTTATTCGCAAAATCCCCTATAGTCGCGCATCGTACGAGAAAATGACATCCGGGAAATCCCCTATAGTTGCGCGTCGTACTAGAAGATGGCGCGTAGTACTTCAAGATGGTACCGCGAAAGCCACTATAGTGTAACTAAACCTTAGGTTAAGTTAATTTCGCGTTTGATTTATTGTTTGGCTCAAATCGGTTGGATAGGGTTAAAAAGAAAAGTGTTTCTTAGTTTGTTTCTTTTTTATTTGTTAAGTACCAATACTAATTTATGAAATTTTTCAAACCAGATCGTTCTGGTGGTATCGATCACACTCAGGTAGTTAACTATCACTCGTGGCGTTAAATCCCATCACGAATTCTCGAAAAATGCTAACACCAATACGAAAGCATTAACAATTTGAAACGTTCACGTGTTATATCCGAGGGATGATGGGGTGGGGAAGCGTATTGGTTAATGGGGGAAGAGCCCACACGCGCGCGCGTGTTCATACTACCTCTCTCTAGTAATTTTTCGCTCACCGTTGGTGGAATACATCTAAAAGGTTCGTTCCTGTTAGTAGTATATAACCGGGGTGAACGAAGTGCTGGAACGGGGGGTTGACGGAGAGGGAGGGAGGGAAAACGAAAAGCGAGCAGTCGCGTAATATAATCAGTGGATCTGATCGAAAAATAATAGCCGCGTCTGTGCCCGGTCCTGGGTAACAGTGATTGAAATTTCTCCCTCTCGACATTTCTCTCAACAACCGACCGCCACCACCACCACCCCCAACCCCCGTTTTGATTTTCGTGCTTTCGTTCTGAAACGACCAACCTAACTTGCGTTTTTTTTAGAGACTTTTCTACTTTTTTTTTTTGATTATTTCTTTAGTTGTTAACCCATTGAATTGTCAGACATATTTAGAGTATCATCTTGTCCTGGGTGTCAAGGTTTTGTTTTAAAAGAACACACTTCGAGTATCTCGTAGCTGACAGTCAATGGGTTAATTAATTTGTAGGTTTTGCAAATTGATAGATTAGACAATAATATATATAAAATATTTTCAATTAGTAGCTTACCTCAAGGCTCTCGACAATTTGTCATAATTCATGTTAGGTTTAGACTTCCTTTCTCCCCAACGTCTCGCAACTTCGTCCGGATCGGTCAACTTGAATTCACCGTTAGTTCCTTCCCACGTAATGCACGCGGCATTGCTAGAATCGGATAAAAGTTCGAGTAGGAACTGCCAAAGTTGAATTTGACCGGATCCTGAACTAGCCAAGCGACTACTAGTCGCGCTAAACATTTGATAGGGGTCTGCAAAATAATCACAATATTTTCATAACATTAATACAAATTCTTGTATAGAAATTAAACATCTTTTCAAATAAATCAAAACGGTATGATAACACAAATTGCTGATACAATTATTTATAAAGTAATCTGTATATATCAAAATTCAGTGCCACATTGTTGATTTCCAATGACATTTGTTTCATTTTGTATAATTTTTTTCAAGTTAGCATATAGGATAGATTTTATCTCAATTATTTTTAGTTTTGATTTGTTATTTAGAGGTTATCTAGGTTTCTTCAGGTACTGTCAATTTTCAATAGATGGCATTGTATCACAGTTCAATTATTTCACGTTTTTTTCAGGTTTTTATATGACATAACCTAACTTTGTTTTTTATATTTTTGCATAGTATTATTATTTAATAATTTACTAAATAATTAAGAATGATATGAAATCAACATTTAATAACGCGTGATTGAAGCATCGTAGTATATTTTATTATATTCAATGAAGAAATATCTTATTGTTCATTCATATGAAGTAAGAAATTTGGATATAGTTCCTTGGCCCTTTTAGCCCTGAAGCATATACCTATCCATTACACGGTTATTTCCTCGTGTTCCCCGTATCGCTCTTTAAAAGCTTTACAATGCGTCATCACCGTCGCTGCTCGCTACTACTGCTCAGACTTTGAAGGGCTCTAGAGTCATACAAAAGGATATAATCGCAACCCTACAATAGAATAGAGTTCGTTTGGATCATAATAATTTCAATTGGAGCTACCGTAGACGGTAGTGGTTCAAAGGGCGTCCGTCCGCGAATGTCTCCGCATTGGCCAAAAATCCTATATGCTACTTTCAATACTTTCTTATCCATAAGAATAACTATTATTGGATTTATATAAAAAATCTTTAATTGATAATTAGAATAAATCACGTGTCTTCATTTGATATATAACAGTTTAAAATATAAAACATATATGATTGGTTAATACTTTCAAATTGGGGTATTTCAATTGACACAAATTTGGATATACATTTTTTAGGTTAACTTAACTAAATTTATCAATTAAAATACACTTATACATCGAGCAATTAATATTTGAATTATTTCTAATTAAACTTTATCGATCGTGTTAGCCAATTAATTGGCTTTTAGTATTTGCAAAATGTTATTAAATAATATATCAAATATTATTAATTAGAAAATTGAAACCCCCCAAATTGACTTTTTTGACCAATAGTGAATGATTTTCAAAAAAAAGTCTTTCATCTGAAGTTTGAAGATACACGGGAGGAGGATTATGAAAAAAAAAAAAAAGTATGAGGAAATCTCTTTATAGGTTAGGTATACCAGACAACTTCCGAGGAAATATATTTCGTCAGATTATGAAGAGGGGGAGGATGAAAATACTAAGAGAAAGAGAGAGAGAGAAAGAGACAGAAGATGCAGACAGAAATAGATAGACGTAGACGATAGGGGATGGGGTGGTATCCGAATTGCCGGACCTCAAAGGTCGTTTCGCTAGTTGAGTTCCCCGAATAACGTGGCAGAGCGATCGGCTTTCGATCGAACGGTAACTCACTTACGAGTTAATAATGGAAAGGGGCGCGGTATACCGATGTGTGTGCTCAAATAAGGGATGAAACACAAGCTTTCGTAATATACCAGTACCTAAAGATCCTAAACAATTCAACCCCTAAAGACTTTTCATTAATTATCTATTAATATTATTATTATTATTATTATTTTTCAATCAAATTTATCCTAAACTTTTAGATTTATCTTTTTTAAGTATTTATTATTTTTTTAGGTTAGTTTTTTTTGTTTGGTTATACTAAAATTTAAATTTAAATTAAATTAAGTTTTGTTTTTGTACACGTTGTTTAACATTATCGACTTGCCATCAAATTTATCCCAAACTTTAGGTTGATTTTTTTTAGGTATTACTTTTTAGGTTATGTTAAAACTTACATTTAAATGAAATTAAATTTTGTTTCTGTAATACACGTTGTTTAACATTATCGACTTGCTAAGCAAGTTTAAACACATTTTTCATGAATTATCAAATTATTTGATTATTATTCAAACAATATTTGGATCACGTAGTATCATTTATAAAACAAATGTCGTTTTACACGATAACCAATGCATTTAAGAATTGACTGTGTAGAAAATGATGATAACAATTAATTGTTTGATAAAATAATAAACATTTGTTGTTAAAAAAAAAAAAAGAAAGAAAAGATACAGGGTAGTTTGAAAAAAAAAAAAAGGGAACGTTCATTTAGACCCGATCGATCGTGTGTCCGAAAGGAGAAATTTCTGGGCGTGGCACGAGAAAATCAAGAGCCTGAGAACTTTCGTGTATAATATTCTCATATGTTAGCGTGATTAGGTTAAGTAGTTTAAATATCGCGAAGGTCATTACTTGCATTTAACTGTATAATCAAAAATGCAATGTTTTCTTTTTTTTTTTTTATGTATAAAATGAGTTGCATCAAGGAATTTGGGTCATACTACTCAACTTTAAAATACTACTTGAGTATATTATTTGAGTATACTACTTGAGTGTAGTACTCAATTGTTTATAATATTTAATAAATTTGGAGACAAGTTTAATAGAAAAATTTTGATAATTTCTCGAATGTTTGTAATAAAATTAAATAAGATAATAAAAATCTTATATTTACGTGAACTTTGATAAAAGATAAATACTTGAACTTCTCAAGAATATCTACCTACTACATACCAGGCTGCCTGAGGTGGCTGTGAGTGTCCAACGCCGACTTTGATAGGCTGCTTCCGTACCCTAAAAATAAAGAAGACAAGAAAAAAGAAAAGAACATATCGATGTACGAATATGTATCAAACAAACTTAATTGAATCAACTTGTTTTAATCCTTTCGTTAGGGTAATCAACATCTAAGTTTTTCAACGTTACGTACATTGGTGAGTTATTTTGAAATGTTCAGAATATATTACGTGGTTTCAAAATATACTTTTAGTATAATTAATTCAATACAAGTTCAATAAAATCATAGAAAGATACTTGAGAGGTAAAATAGAATTTTGGTGCCTATTATAATTGGGATTCGTAACGAAAGGGTTAATAAATAAATTTAGGAATATTAAAACATAGACTGTGTCACGACATTTGTTTTTTCAATGACACCACGTGGATCCATTTGTGATCAACATTATTATATACTTTAATATATCTATTTTTAGGTTAAATATAATTATAGTATATATTGGAAACTTGTGTGGCAGTTAATAGACAACTTAGTTAACTTAGACTTTATTTTATAATTAAAATTAGAGGTCTACCAAAATGATAGAAACAACCCTTTAATATTCCTGTAACAGTCAACTAATCTAAGTTAACTTAAACTTTATTTTATAATTAAAATTAGAGGTCTACCAAAATGATAGAAACAATCCTTTAATATTTGTGTAGCAATCAACTAAGTTAATTTTATTTTATAATTAAAATTAGAGGTCTACCAAAATGATAGAAAGGATCTTTTAATATTTGAGTAGCATTCAACTAAGTTACCTTCAATTTTATTTTATAATTATAGAGTTAAAAATACTAACGTGTATACCAATGACAAAAACAACCTTTTAATATATTTATAATAAAATATATCAACAATTTATTTAGCAGTCAACTAAGTTAACTTAACTTTATTTTATAATTACAATTAGAAGTATACCAATGATAAAAACAAGTTCATATTCCTCCTCAAGTTCAAAATCAGTAATGATCTTATGTCCAGTGAAGGATTAAAAATTTGTAAAAAAAACATTGAGTGATAAGAGAGAGAGAGTGAGGGAGAAAAAAAAGGTAAAAGAAAGAGTGAAAGAAAAAGTTATCGGGCTGGTCAAAGACGGACAAAAGTATAAAACCCATTGGAGCGTTAGAATCCGTTAGAGAGGATTTCCGTGTAGGCAAACACGAGGGCTGAGTGCTCCGTATACGTTTCTCTCCCATGCTCAGGAGAATTTCGATCCTAGTTCTTATCACCCCCTCCCCCTCAATTTCTTCTTCATCTCATCTTCTTCTTCTTCTTCTTCTTCTTCTTCTTGTTCTCGTCTACCTCTCGTTTACTCGTCTTTGCACACGTTTTGTGTACACACGTATATACTTATGTTTGTTTCGTTTGTATGTGTTCATGTGTGGGTGTATAATACGTTCAGTATTCGTTGGACTAGTGGTCACGTTCCTACGAACGAGTGTGCAATCTGTTTAAGGCACAATGGCCCCCTTAATTTTGCTTCGTTATACTCCGTTACCTTCAAAAAGGGTATATGTCAATGATTTCCAATGAACTTTGAACATACTGAACAAATCTTAATGAAATTTTTGGTATTTTCAGTCATTTTATTCAACTAAGAATATAAAATAGTCTTTTTATCGCGTTTATGTTTTATTTTTTATCGCCAATTTAATGATTTATTATTTAGAGGTTATTTCTAAGTCTCTAAGTTCTGTAAATTTTCAATAGATGGTGTTGTATTACAATGCAATTATTTCACTTTTTTTTCAGGTTTTTATATGAGATAACCTAACTTTGTTTTTGATATTTTTGCATAGTATTATTATTTAATAATTTACTAAACGTCATTTACAGGAAAAATAATATAATTAAAAGATTATAATAATTTGATGCATTTTTAGAATAAATTTTGATCAAAATTGTTTTACAATTTGTAAAACAAATTGCGTAGAATATGACATTGAAACAATTCAAGATTTTGTTTGTTTTTTATGGGAGTTTCTTTGTTGAATCATGGGGGATGATTTAGTAATTGTTAAAAAATAAAAAAAATAAAATACAAGTAAGTAAAATCCCATCGTAGGAATGTCGTTGACAAGTGTAGGATAACGGCAGATGTTACCTTTAAATAGCAGTTGGTGTCCGCTGTGTTAAACAATTTGATTTTCGTTTCTGATTGGGACCCGGCTGGTGGGAAAAAGCATCCACATCGATGGGGGTTCGGACAAGGAAGAGAAAAAGGAAGGAGAGACGACTAGACGAGAGGATCTTTGCTGCCAGGCGTCAACGAATCTCGCGTTGTCCATGAAGGAAGGGAGAGTTGTCTGCCTCAATCACCGTAGCCGCAGGGTTGCAACATTTTTTTTTTTTGTTCTTTCTTCTCTCTTTTTTTTTCTCTTTTCTATCTTAACTAACAATAAGATATTCCTTCTTTTTCAAAAAAATTTATTTATTGTTAATCTAAATATTCATTCATAGTTTTGTTAACCCATTGACATTGCCAACTAGTATAGGATGTGTTGCAATTTAAATATAATACAATATTATAAATATTTTATTAATAATTAATAAATTAAACAATATATATTCTATAAAAAAAAAATTATCAATTATTGTAAATTCCATTTGCAATATTTATTTTTAAAAATAAAACCTTGCCAACTAGGTTCAAGATCATCTAAATATGGCAGTCAATTGGGTTAATAAATGAATGAATGAAAATCTGAGATTGAAACTCACTTGGAAATACTTAAAAAAAAAAAAAAAAAAACTAGAGAGAAGTGTTATTTGTGTTGTACGATTTCCTAGTGTTGAAGTTAAGAACATCAACAATCGGTTTTAGATCCGTCCAAGTTCCCCATTGTCGCTTCTATATCCGCACATTCCAAGCAATTACGTTGGGCGGGGTAATCCCGTTAGGCGCACGTACCTTCCTCGAGGGAGGATCAAAGGTCCCCGTTATTCCGGTTTACTGAGCTCTTTTTCGCTCCTTCAAACATAGCCTAGCACAATGACAATGCTGCTATTCTATCAGTCAAGGGGGCATGGAATCTACCAACTACATTCTTCTTTCTTGTTATTTGGATTTTTTCTTTATAGAGAAGAAAAATTCATGTAAAATTTCTTCTAGGGATATATTCTTTGAAAATTACAAATTGAAAAACAAATTTGAATCCTCTCAACATTGTCACCATGTAAAACAAGAACTCTCTCCTTGAGTTGTTTCAAATGTGGAGGGGTTAAGAAACCTAGTGGGTAAATTATAAGTCACGTGTTATTGCGTGACTAAGTAAGCCGAGGTTCTTTTTTTTTTTAAAGTTCTCTCAAATGAACGACGTGTCACGATCTTGGCACCTTCTCTCCTTTTGCTAACCTTTTTCTTCTTTTTTTTTTTTATCTCACTAAACATAATTCATCGTGATCACGCTCAATCGCGTGATTTTTGTTTCTTTAACAACTTGGAGAATCGAACTGACAAGATACCAATATTTTTTTTGGTTTATTATAACAAATCATTTTGTTTGTTAGCACGTGTGTTAGTTGACTGGACCTATGTTTATCATTGTATTGTCCCAAAAGTTTAGGTTAGCTAACCTCTTAGACATTGCTGCATTTTACTCGGAGCTGGGCTCAACAGACAATGCTGTTTTCATTGACAATTAAGTATTTAATCATTAAATTATTATTTTTCTTGAAAATATATTGCATATACACTTTAATTTTATCAATTTACTTTAATTATTAATAATAACATTAGGTATTATAAATTTAAAAAAATGTTATTCGCGAAAAACACGATAGTGGCGCGTCGTACGAGAAGATGGCATCTGGGAAATCCCCTATAGTGTCGCGTAGTACCAGAAGATGGCATTAGATACAGCCCATATAGTGTCGCGTAGTACTTAAAAGGTTAACTCTACGTTTGTTTTTCCCTCAAAATAGGCAAATGCTATTCGAACAAATGAATAATTCGTTTATAAATTTATCAAGTAAAAAAATACGCTAATTTCCTAGGTGATGATCGTTTAAAGCAACGGGTGGCGAAAAATAAAAGCATCTTTCTCGCTTATTTTTTGCTTTCATTTCTATTTCATTTTTTGCGCTGAACTTTTTTCTTCCTTTCATTCTTTCTTTCTCCTCGTAAATCTGGCAGCGCGAAGACCCATGGTCACGCGTCGTTTCCCGGTGACTTGTTGCCCACGATCCGTATCCCTTCAGTGTGGTCCCTTCCTCCCCCAGAGTTTCTTCTGAACGCGGTTCCGCAACGGGGAAGACCCGCTCGTGTTTTTGACCGCACGACGAAAAGTCAAAGTCGCGCGTAAAGTCGTCACGCTTTTTCCCATCCCTCCCCTCTTCCCTAACCTTATCCCATAAAAAATTCTACTCATAGATATCGAAACTATGAAAAATTAACACCAATTGTATAAATAGGATTCTGTATAAACCAAAATAATAAACCACCCTTATATTGAACAATCATAAAACTTAAGCAGTGTAAAAAGTTTATTTATCATAATCCATATTTGTATAATCTCTGTGACTCGTTATAAAAACCCTGTAGGGTTACTGTATAAGGGTTTTACTGTATATAATATCTTATATAGTATCATTGAGATCTTGTCAAGATTTACTTAGGATCATCGATCATTATTTACGAGAGGGCGCGTGCCAGTTAGAAAATAAAGTATCGTCACGGTTCCGATTTGTAATTCGATGAAAGATAGACAAGAAAAACGAATAAGTATTGTCTTATCCCCATCATCATCATCATCATCTTGCTAACTTTTATTTAATAATTTTTTGTTGTTGGAACGAATAAGAACAACGGGTCATAAGTTGGAACAGAATGGAATCGTCAAAGAAATGCCCGTAGCATATTGGGCATCAAAAGGAATAAGAAGAGGGTGAGTTTTAGGACAGTTAGACGAGTGTGTAGTAGGAAAGGACTATGGAGTTCGTTGTCTCGCAACTCGTATTATGTCTTTCGGTAGTACATACACGGTCACGTGCCTATGCGTGACACGTTCACGCATGGCTGCTTGGTTGGGCTGCGCGTTTTTCGACTCCCCCGCCATATCGGCTCGCATTCATCTCTTCGATTCAACGTTAGAGGAAAAAGAGGGTTGCACGGATTGCGCTTCCACTTTAACCCTGAGTCGTTGAACGTCTATCAAGCACAAATTCCCCCTTCTTGTGTTCCCTTTTCTCTTCGTCTTCTTTTTTTTCTTTCTTCTTTTCTTTTCTATCAAAGTGGCTACATTGGCTGCTAAGAAAAAAAGGGATGAAGAAGACAAATGTCTCAGATTTTTCACCATAGAATGTTAATGTAAAATGTTTATAATATTTTAAGAATTATACTGAATGATTATGGTAAAAAATAAAAAAAATAAAAATGAAAGGGACAACAATCGGTGATCAGGTCAGATCAACGTTTGGTCGTTTGGCACGCGCCGTGTCGGACTACGTAATTATCATAGGGAAGTTAGGGTTGCCCTCGGACACATTCGCACACATTTGCACACACACACACACATACACATGTATATATAGAGGGAAGGGGGGGGAGCTCGAGGTCCGTTCGCTTCGGGTCAGGAAGTCACGCGAGAGGCACACGCGCGTGTTCACTCGCAAGAGGAAAAAGGAAAGGGGCTGTAGGAAGTACTTTTGTTCCTAACGCCACTCGCCTTAAAGTCCTTTTTTTACTTTTCTTTCTTTTCTTTTCTTTTTTACCCCACCTACATTCCCAACCTCCCCATGCCACCCCCGAAGTCGTAAAAAACCTTCTCTTCGACTGGATCACTTTCTGTTTTTTTTTTTCGTTTTATTGGAGTATCTGTTATTGGGATGATTTTTTGTGTATCAGTGATTTGTGTTAACATTTTAGTTGTTAATTGGACAATAAAACCATCTTGGTGAATCCTATGTTAACCCATTCGACAGCACATTTTTCAAACACGGTTGAAAGAACCATTTCTTTTTGTTTGATTATATTACCAACTTTAAACAATACCAAATTTTGTTTTTGTATACTTTAACCTAGTCCAGAGTTTGTCGAAGTATCGTCACCGTATTGAAATACGCGCAGATGCCGGATATATCCGGCCCTAGAAGGGACAGGGTTTAAAGATACTATTTATACCAAAACAAAGTCTTATTTTGATGAATACTTTATTTAAAACATCTGATAATAGTTTAGTATGATTGCATACACACACATACATACACACACACACACACACACTGTGTGCAAGTGGGTCTTAAATGGGTTAAATGTAACTTAAGAAAAGATTATATTTATCCATGAGAAGTTTTGCTTTGATATTTTTGTACATAGTGAAGTTAGCAAGAACCTTCTTTGAAATCGAGAATCAGAAAGAGTGAATGCGTGATTTTGAAAGTACCTAGTCCCTGGATTTTTCTTTCCATTGTTCTTCTGGTACAAAGTATCACGCGATAAGAACATGGGTTGTATTATGGAATGGTAACTAACTTATGTCTCGCGTGCAATAAATTCATTATGTAAAATGTACATTAACACGTTGACCGGCATAAAAGGGCTGGGAGGAGAAGGGGGTGTTCATTCGCGATGACTCGTATTACCAACTTCATTTAAACAAAAACAAAAAAGAATTATATTGTTCGTTCGTTAACATTTACACACTAGGAACATTGTAAATCCCCTTTTTTGGGGAGGTTTTATGAACTAAACCTAACTCGAACAACTTCTCTTGAAATAATTTCACATACCCACATACRTACATACACGATTTATGGGTATATAATGTTAAGGGGGTTCGAAAAGTAAGAAATTGTTTACAAATTTATTCGTTTTTGAGGTTAGGGTTAGGTTAGGAAAGTTCTGCAGTTCTGACAAACCCCGGTTGTTCAATTATTCGTCTGTAGGGCTAAGATATTTGTTTAAAAAATGCAATACACAAATTGTCATCGCGTTGTGGGGTAAGATATCATAAATAATTATTCTAAAAATAGACAAAACTTTTTCAGCAAACCTAATATTGAATTTTCGAAGTGTGTGTGTATGTGTGTGTGTGTCAAATGATAAAAGATCGTTCAAAGATTGTGAGTAATAGTAGTAGTAGTAGTATAGATTGTCCTAGGACACGTTTAAATCTCGTCAAGTTTGAATCGTTTCGCGTTGAATTTGTAGATGGTGGTATCACAAAGGAACAGGTTTAATTTGGTTGGTTTGTACTCTTAGTAAAAGTGACGTTAGCTATTGAACACTATAGTAAAGAGATAGAGAGAAGCTGTGATTTCAATTTCACGCTGGCACAGTCTTGCAAAGCCTTGCAAAAGGAAGACACCACCGAGATTATGGTTGAGAGGTGCCACAGAGAGGTGCCCCAGGGGTCACGAACGGGAGTCAGACGCGTCGTCGCGTAATTTCATGAACCTCAGTGATGTCCGCTTTTCTACCATGTTATGGTGTAGAGTGTAAACCTGATCAAAGGCAATGTCAGTGAGAGAGAGTAGCACCCACAACCCCTCGTGATCGGAGAATTATACCCTGAGGCTTACTATCTTATGTACTCACTTCTATCACTGTCTTCTGTTTTTCGATTACTGATGGGTCCCTCTCTCTCTCTCTCTCTCTCTCTCTCTCTCTCTCTCTCTCTCTCTTTCATTCTTTTTGATCAAATACCCGTTTGTGTTTACAAACGGGTGCAACCAAAAGCTATTGCAATCGTCAACGTGTTAATTAAGTCCTACTATTTGAATAAAAACATCATAGTTATGCATTTGAAATAATTGTGTTCGATCAAAGTCAAGAATAATAATTAAAGTACCGTCAATTTTTATCAAAGTTTATAATATAATATTAAATTACCCTAAATTTGTTAAATAATAATTGCTATAATACCTAACACCCCAAAAGAAGGGCCTATCAAAATTTGATCTTACCTATGTCACAAGTTTTGCAATACGTCAAAGATGAATTAACATTTAACACAATAATCAAACATTTGAACTGTGTTTTAACTGTTATTAAAAAATATTTGTAATAGAAACCAGGTTGGTAACTCATAACACTAGGGGGGAGGGTTTCACTGTATAATGTTACACCTTGTGCATACATACACATTTCGCGAATATATTAAGTCTGGTAGGTGAGTGAAGTGTGCACAAGTCCTTTATACAAGGTGGCCCTAGGGCAGGAGTCAACTAAAGACGATGATTGTGTTGGTGTAGGTGTCCAGAACGGTGAGCAAAGCACCGCCTGACGCGCCACTGCTTTGCCAACCGCTCTGTTGATTTCGTTTGCTAGCTCTGCCAGCCGTCTCTCTCTCTCTCTCTCTCTCTCTGTCTGTCTGTCTCTTTCTATCTCTGTCTCTCTCTGAACAACCCCTAAGGGCTGTTCACTCTCGACGGTCATAAAGGGTCCGCGGTTGAACGCGCGGCAAAGCGACGGAAAGCGCCAGGACGCCGGAATACCGGAACACCATCGGCCCACCCATATCATCATGACATCAACGAATTCTCACATTTACGTTCCTGATCCTCATTCCTCATTATTAGAAATGTTATTGGTATATGTGTAAATAGAAAAATTTGATAAATTTTTACTTACCCTGGCCAGGGGCCGGGGATGTCGCGTGACTCCAGCCTCCTTTGTACGAACTACTTGCATCTGTAACATTTTTAACATTGTTTTATTAATATATTTTCGTGATAATTGGGTAAATGATTGTTAGGTATTATTAATATTTGATTAGGTATCGATTTTAAGGATTTTTTTTTGCCTATGTTACAAATTGCAAACTTGTAATATAATTCGGAGCTGAAGAAAAATTCAGTGTTGTTCATAGGGGCTTCCAAAATTTGAACAAAAATGTTTAAGACTCGAATTAGAAATTTGTTGTTATCAATAATTCCAATAAAAATGATGTTAGAAGAAATTGTTCATTGATACAACAAAATAAGCTTACTGTGCTTCATTTTAGTTAGTCTCGTATTTTTGTTTCTTTTTTATGAAAAAAAAGAAAAAAAATGATATGAAGATAAATTGTCAAGGGGAAACGAATTTTGTGAACTTTTGATGCAGTCTCAAGCGCCGGCGGTCTGTTTACAGACAGATATATTTTCATTTGGCAGTTATTGGCACGAGGGTGGCCAGTATGTGTGTACATACGCTACGGCAGTATGTCAAGCTGTAGCAGAAGCTTGGTCTTTCTAGGCAAACAACGACTTAGTCGCGAACGTTGAATCCGACCTTTTGCTTCTTACTTTCTTGTCTCCCTTCGTTTGGTCTAAGGGTGTACAGTCCATTAATAAAGCCTCGAGTTTCATGTTTCCGAAGACATTAAAATCGATCAACGTAAAAACGTGATGTAATCTCTGACACATCAAATATCTAGGTGATATAATGTTATCATCGTGTGAAGGATTTTATTTTGGATCAAACTACCTATACATCACCTAGGTCAAGGTTGCCAAAGAGTTACAAAAAAAAAAGAAAAATATGGATCTCTAATAACCAAGAGACAACTATCTTTTTAAAAAATTGTTTAACAAGTAGAACAAATTTGTAGAATTGTCGAATGCAACAGGGTAGCTAATACTATTCGATGTGACCACGATCCTCAGACGTAATCAGCTGATCATATTATTCCTCCGATGGAATATCTATGATGAAACGATGATATTTAATTTGACAAATAATATCCGACGTACCGGCAAAAAGCATGGAGAGGTTGGTGAAAGCTGTTGTACGTGGTAGTTCCGCGGTGGTGGTACCAGTGCTTTTGAGGTCCAGCATCGCGCGGTTTGCCACCGACGCGGCAGGTAGCCTCGAGTTTTGGCCCCCCCTCTGTTGATGATGGGCCTGATCCGTCAGTTAATAACGCGTTAACACTGTTGTCCTTAATAATCACTGGATCCCAACACGACTCGTCGATCATATCACAAGTGGGATTGCTTGCTCGGATTCGTTCAAGATTTAAACGAGAACGTCACGTGAATTAGCCAATTTCAAATGGATTATTATTGTTGTCGTATTATACGCGAAAATATAAATAAATGATTGGACGATAAAGGTGCCGATCATCTTGTCTACCCGCTCCGAGTAACACTGCTGATTTTGTAGTCTCTGAAGGAGAGTACAATTTCGAAAACTACGACGACGTGCCTATACGCCGAACCCGCCCTCCGTCACGATGCCACTCGGGGGTTGGCTCGTAAACGCGACACTAGGGGCGGTCTCTATCCAAGGATTGACACCCCCGTGCAAGATGGGGGTGAAAGGACGCTTGCGCTCTGCACCTTTCTTTTCTCTCTTTCTTTCTCTCAGTAAAGTAAACCGATATCGCAATTCTAGTACTTTTCTTGCCTACGGGTCTTCGCCGTCGGCTGACGACTGACTCCTCGAGTCGGACCTTGACCAGATACTTCTTCTCTCTTACTCTTACCTACCTTCTTCTTCTTCTTCTTTTTCTTCTTTTACCTTAGCTTTAGCCCAACCACTCTTCATTCTTATCAACATTCTTATCAGTCTCATACCACTCTCTCTCAGTACGATTATCGGTTCACCGTTTTCCTTTCCACTTGAAAAGAACTCGACATTTTCTATGTCTTACCGAATATCCCCTAACATTGGTAGACTTGTCGATGAGAGAGATGAGTTAAGTAGTTTCAAGTGTGTGTTTAATATTATCAACTCTATCATTTGTAGAACATTTATTCATTTGTAGGTGACACATTGAACAAATTTAAATTACATGTATATGTAATATTAATTATTCAAATGGTGCATTAATATTTTATTAGGTTGTATAACCCCATATAACTAGTTATTATGAATGACCCTAAAAGAAACGCGTAACTAAACAATACAAATTGCTAATGGAGCATTCCTAGAAACGATACGAATTGAAATATCGTTTTCAAGCACGTCGATGAACGGGAACGGGCTGGAAGTGGCCTTTCTGAACGTTCACTAACACACACACACACACACATCCATACATAGAGGTAACACTTAGTAAGCTAGTAACTGTGATTCATACTACCGGGATATATTCTGGACGTTCGACGTTAGTTAGGTAAGGCCGTTTAACCGTGACGTGGGAGTTGTTGGTGTTAGTTCTGTTATAGCGAACGTAGATGAAGAGAGAAAGAGAAAGAGAAGGAAGGCCCTTTCCCCCCTTTCACCACCATAACCGATAGAAGCGGCACGCGCACGACACGCGACCGCGTACAGCCAGCGGCGCATTTAACGCGCGATCGCTCTCGAGTGTCCGCGTGTACGTTCCTGGGGGATGCCAAGGGGGTTAAAGTGCGCCTGCGAAGGGAGAAAGCCGATGGTGCTACTTTTCTGCGATACTTACCACCCCCCATACATCCCCCTTTCCCCGGCTTTCACCACCCTCACTCACCCCTTCGTACCTCTATAGCAGTAGTGTACTTTAAGTTGCCTGTTGGAAGAAGAATTGGCAAACTCCAGATAGAGAGTTCGAGTGGATAATACCCAGGTAGAAGTAGTATGAATAGATATTGCCTCAAGTTTATTATATACATCTATTTTTTAACTATTCTAACTACCCCTTTCAAATCGTTGAATGAGAAAAATGAAACTTTAACATATTGCGGACTTTTTACGGTTGAATAAAATATCATAAATAACATCGTCACAAATTGGAAGATTTCTTTAGGAGAGAATTTTTCCTCCCCCAACCTCCCGAAGTGGTAGAGTTACACTTGGGATAATAATAGGAAAGTTAGAAAAGTTGGTACGTGTACTTTTTCATTTCCCCATATTTTGCGGTTAAAAGTTAAAAAGAAAAAAAAGGAGAAAAAAGAAGAAGAACACCCACGTGGGGAAAGGATCTTTTAGGATACAGAGGATCGTATATATATATATATATACATACGTGTAGATACATTCCCGGTGATTTTCCGTGAGTGCATGTATCTTGAGATACTGGCGTAGTGGTATTAATGACCAGCCAACGTTTCTCTTCGGTATAGCTCGTTCTCTTGGTCGTACACGGGCTGTTTAGTGCGGGGGCGCGGAATATCATTGTGCACGCCATGAGAGACATGACAGGGCGGCTATTGTAACGCGAGACGCATAGCTGCGAGAAGGGAATAGAAGAGAAGAGAAGAGAGTTTGCGAGGGAGCTCGAATCAACCAACTCCCACCCACAACCCCAACCCCCGAAGAGCCTGTCGAAGCATCGAGCTACCTCAAACTACCCCTTCTTGCTCCTTTCATCCCCTAGCCCTATCCTTCCTTCCTTCCAACAACCTTCTCCTACTCCTCCTCCTCCTCCTTCTCTCTTTCTCCTCAGCGTTCGTTTTCCCTCGTTTCTCGTTCGTTCCCTGCACGCTGTAACACGATAAGAACCGTGTCACTTTGTTACGTTTGTGGGGGAGATTCTCTGCTGCTTAAGTGTACGATGATACATATCTGCAACGGCTACCAGATAATTCTTCGTATTCAATTTGTACAATATGCTTGGGATCCCTGCTTTTGGAACCCGATGGCATCGCGCCTATCCACGCACCGGCAACTTTCAAACCAACCAACTAACCAACCAACTCTATCAATCTAACGTTGTGTTAGGTTGCTACGTGATATTCCTATCTGAAAATATGTATTTGTCTTTTTTTTTTTTTTTTTTTGAATACCTCTCTATCATTCTATCCAAGCAAACAGTCAGCTAGCCACCTAGAGAACCAGCCACAAATAGAATTTAAGAACCAGCGACTCTTTGCATAGCATTTTAAAAAAGAACACACACTTGTGAACACGTTCTATTGGCATGTTTGTCGAACTGCACGCGGCATCGATACAAAGACTTCCGTTTACATTAAATGAACCCAACACAACAATCCTTCTCCCTGTCATCTTTCAATAAGTGTGAATATTTTATATTTGCAAAGTTTCTTTTTTATTATTCTATACAGTGATTCCCGAAGTGATCCTGAAACTAAATCCTTAGAAAATGATGAAATTTGATGGTTCCTTTTTTTTCTTGGATAAAATTATATAGAAAAAAAAAAATACGTACAAAAAGAATCAACTTAAGAGGGAAGAAGAAGGGTGATAGAAGCTGTAGTAGAAGCAAAAGCCATTAATTACGTTACGGAAGAATGCAGTCGTTGGTTCAAACAAAGGACCTAGTGTACATCCCCCTAAAGTTCACAATGCGTACATGTCGTTCGTCTACGCTTCATATATTCAGCCTAATTATCTCGAATTTGCATATCTCCAGTCTCTCTCGTTGTAGCAAACGACTTGGAGCCTTTGTTGTCATCAGTGGGACATCATTCTCTTTATGGTTCTCCTTACAAATACGTAATTCTCTAACCCAAACACTTGTAACTTCGATTTTCCTGTTATGATCGTTAAAACTGACAACTTTTCTATCTCTTATTAAACAAGTTCGTTACGATCGAATGAATGAATTTTCAAATCACCGATTATAAATTATTTTTCATTGGGGGGTTTCTTTTTTTTTTTCAAGCATACTTTTTTAGGGTGTTAAACTTGTTTATCGTCATGGGGATTTAATCGCATTCGCGTCTCGGCGACAAATTTAATAAGAAAATTCGCATCGTAGGAAAAGAGAAATAAACGGGAGATGATGAATAAATGAAAATTGATAAATTAGAACGAAAAATATTAGA